TACACGGGAGGATCTTGTCAATACTCTCAAGGCAGCTGGGACCATAGTCACCAATAAAACAATTGGTAACACACTACACCGTGAAGGACTGAAATCCTGCAGCAGCCGCAAGGTTCCCCTGCTCAAGAAAGCACATATGCATGCCCGTCTGGGTGAAAGTGTTGTGGAGCTCTTTGGCATCAACTCAACTCGCCGTGTTTGGAGGAGGAGGAATGCTGCCTATGACCCCAGGAACACCATCCCCACCGTCAAACATGGAGGTGGAAACATTATGCTTTGGGGGTATTTTTCTGCAAAGGGGACAGGACAACTTCACCGCATCAAAGGGACGATGGACGGGGCCATGTACTGTCAAATCTTGGGTGAGAATCTCCTTCCCTCAGCCAGGGCATTGAAAATGGGTCGTGGATGGGTATTCCAGCATGACAATGACCCAAAACACACGGTCAAGGCAACAAAGGAGTGGCTCAAGAAGAAGCACATTAAGGTTCTGGAGTGGCTTAGCCAGTCTCCAGACCTTAATCCCATAGAAAATCTGTGGAGGGAGCTGATGGTTCGAGTTGCCATACGTCAGCCTCAAAACCTTAATGACTTGGAGAAGATCTGCAAAGAGGAGTGGGACAAAATCCCTCCTGAGATGTGTGCAAACCTGGTGGCCAACTACAAGAAACGTGTGACCTCTGTGATTACCAACAAGGGATTTGCCACCAAGTACTAAGTCATGTTTTGCAGAGGGATCAAATACTTATTTCCCTCATTAAAATGCAAATCAATTTATAACATTTTTGACATGCGTTTTTCTGGATTTTGTTGTTGTTATTCTGTCTCTCACTATTCAAATAAACCTACCATTAAAATTATAGACTGATCATTTCTTCGTCAGTGGGCAAACGTACAAAATCAGCAGGGGATCAAATACTTTTTTTCCCTCACTGTACATCTCCAAAAGGGCAGGTGGTTTAAAATCAGATCTATTAACTTTGTACGACACAACGACTGTATTCATCTCAAGTCAAACGCAACACGATAGTTGGTTGCATGCGAGAGGCTGCGGACCGTCAGATAATAATACTACCGTACACGAAAGTGCCGTCAGATAACGGGGCCTAGGACAAACACGGCGAGTCTACGAGTAAAGTCCCGTTTAAAAATGACAAATAGGAGGGTCTGCAAGGTCAAGTTTGTCATAAAATGAGGAGCGCTATAAAGCATGGGGGTATAGTGTAGAAATAAAGGCGTTCCGTGGCAACTGTGTCCTAGGCTAACCTTTGTGCAGGACCAAAATTAACAAGTCGGTCATGCCGACTCTGATCGAGTTGGTCTTCTGTGGCCCATTCGCTTTAACACAGCAGTGCTCTGACAAGTGTGGCATTGCCTCTGTACTACTCGCCTTTTGCCATTGTTCTCTGGTCTAACACTGGTAGTGCGACAAGGTCATGCAGAAGGCTGTCTCTGGTGTAGGACAATCAGTTTCAAAGGCAATGTGTATATAATTACTGTGTAATAAAAACATCTTTTTTTGGTTCCTGGGTAGTAAGTGTTATTTTCTAATTGCTTATGCCTCAAAAGTACAGAAAATGTATATTATTATTCCCCACAAACTTTGTTTTTGTGACCAGGACACAAAAGCAAAGTTAATAATCTACTCCATTAATATAACTGTGGAACAAATTAATTTATTTTTGGTTCCTGGGTAGTAAGTGTTATTTCCTAATTGCTTATGCCTCAAAAGTATAGAAATTTGCTATTATTCCCCACAAACTTTGCTTTTGTGACCAGGACAGTGATATTTAGAAATGTATCTCTTTTTAATGAGAAAACGTGGTGTGCATTGTGTCATTCCTTCAAATAAAGTCCTGGTCACAAAAGCAAAGTTTGTGGGGAATAATAATAGCCATTTTCTGTACTTTTGAGGCATAAGCAATTAGAAAATAATACTTACTACCCAGGAACAAACATCGTGTTACATAGCGAATTATCAGAGCACGTTTGCCTGTTTTGCTACAAGTACGTGCAGGGGCGGAGCCAGGATTTCAGGCCGGGGTGACATTCAACAAATTTTAATTTCAAGAATGATTAGAGAGTCAGGCTGTTGAACTAGACGCCATCAGTTGGCGACACACTCTGACAATGCAGTTGCACGGAGTCCGGCAGACCGAGTGTCGTACACTTATACTCAGAATGTCACCCCTGTCACCCCCCCTGGCTCCGCCCCTGAGTACGAGTGGTTAATGCAGACGTGATGCCTTGTAATAGGTATCTATTTGGTGTTTGAACATCTTAACACCTGATTTATTGCCAGAAAGGGTAAAACCTATTCTTATTTTTCATCATTCTTGATAATGGCAAAAAAGGTCCCATAGATAGTCCACTCGCTGTGTCTGATCATGATTGTAACCCATTCGCTGGAAACATTAGCATCTTTGAGAATAATCATGGCAAATGGATGTACATGTTCAATGTTGGAACAAATCATTATTAATAAGCATTTTAGCAGACTTACAGTCAGCAATAAAATGCAAGTTGCTGGAGTGGATATCACCGAAGGAATAATAGGATTGTAGCAATTAGGTGGTAAATTATTGGTGCGCTTTTATTGGAATGCGTTAATGTGTTATTGACTTATACGTGCAGACCAGTTGTTGCATCGATGAACTTGTGATTTAATGGTATTTTAATGGTGCGATATTCCATCCGACCATTTCATTTTTCAATGAACGCTACGCGTATGCCAAAAAAAAACACACGACATCACAAATGTATTCCACTGACAATAATGAAAAAGCGCACAACTGCATTTCGGAAACAAAATCCGGAAGCGTGAAGAAATAACAAGACTCCGTGGGATTCATCAGCAGCTATCAGTCCAGCATCGTCACACAAGTGCACAGAATCTGTACATCGATGGGCCCTTAAAGGGCTACTCTCCTCAGAACCACCGCTTTTGTGTGATTTCAGCATCCAAGAGACACATCAGGCTGCCTAGCGGGTCCAGTTAGCAACGTCATGGAGCTTCATATCACCTCGGAACTCTCTCCCAACTCATGATCCACAACACTCTGGGCCATTCTTTAATGAGATTCCTTCCCTTTAATGTGGCTCCCCCACTGGTGCAAATGTCGTTCGTTTCTGTTTTAATGGATTGCGTATACACAGTGCACAAACTATATGCACATTGCATTATTCAGCTTGGTGTAACACATATGCCGGGGGAGTGGCATTGCCGTGCGAATGTCTGTGCTGGGCGTCGGCATCTCAACACGCACGGCAGACCTCACTGTCCCGGCTCGCTTGCGATCTGACATTTCTCATCGGCATTGTAGTCGCCCTGTGATATCGTTTTCTAGTGTTTTGAACTAAGCGTCGTACACTTTAAAGGTTCGCATGAATAATATATTTGTGCAATTCACCTCGCACTTTACATCAGGTCACATCGAAAGTCCAAGTGTTGCCCTTAGCCTGATCAAGCGATCGTGAGGTCGTGCCCTTCTCCGCTCGCAGCCCAAAGCCAGGGGCGGAAATTGCACATTCCTCTGATGGGGACCAGTATTCTGAGCAGCATTTTTTTAAAGTTGACTTACCTATTTTTTTTATACTGACCAACAAATTTCTATGTTCCAATAAAACAAACTGTGGCCAATGTGTAAGCGTATTCCGTCGTGATCATTTTGTTCCGTGAATAAATACCCAAAAATGTGATTGGAGATTAAATATTCGTTAGATGTGTACAGCTATCGGGTACAACAAACGTCAGAAGTGTGGGCGATGACAAGGCGCCACCGGTGTAAGAGACGTCACGAAACCGGTGAGTAGCCGGCCAGCAAACACGGGGTCCCATATGCATGCGTGTGGAATCACTGCCCTGTGACGTGGCTATAGCGAACAACACAAGTAAAGGGGGACAACTTGGAGGAAGCGTTGATCCAGCAGTAGACTGAAACTGACCATTGATGATGTGCTTAGTTCTAATTCCTTGGTTACTGCTGACATAACTCTCTCACATTTCCAAAAGACGCAGTTAACCATCATTTGATTAATTAACATTAGCGATATATTTATTTGATCAGACAGAAAAAAACCCGTCACTAAATCTCACGGCACTCTTGCTTTGGGTCGCTTGGTCAAATGCATTTTTAAAGCCAACGTCTGCTACGTGGAGGACCGGGTTACCAGCAGGAAACCCAATGTGTACGAGGGGATAACACTTACCTTCCACACAGGTCAGGAATATACTCAGTCACACACTTGATTGCCATAATCATATTCGTCGTTATTCATACAAAAAATAATTACATACATCTCTTCACTCGGTGTAAAGAATGACAACACCATTGGTTTTATCTCCAGATAAGGTGAAGGAGGATAACCATATATGACATGGGGATGTGGAAACCATCGGAACAGTCATCACAAACGTTCACTCGTAGTGGCTGCACTGTGGAAGTAGGTGGTAACTCCATCACGTTGCCACCAGTGATTTCTCTGGCTCACAGTCTCCATCAGCCATGATAAGACGTTCAATTGGCGAACTAAACTCGCACGATTTAAAGCTTTCGTGACTGCAGGGATTCATATTCAATAAAATAATGATATTATTTATAATAATAATAAATAATATTATTTTATTGTTTCCCTTCTACGTGACTTTACCGAAATAACCAAGAATATAAACTCGCACTGTAGCCACAGCGCACCTCAATAACTCAAATCTGTACGTGATGAGAAAACCCATCACACACCAGAGGTCATACTGTGGCAGCGAACATTGATGACTGTGCTCTACCGATGAGTCCTAATGATGATGAAGCCGTTGCGTCCTTTTGTCTCACTGCTGCCCGTTGGTTGAGACGGCTACATTTCCCCAACTCTTCAGGGTCAGTGGTCTCAACGACAACGAGGCCACACATTCAGTTCCCTTTGAACCGGTGGTGTGGACAAGGCGGAGAAGCTGTTTATACACGCGATGATGCTCTGTCGTGTTGTTCAATCTGCCGTCGTACCTCAAAACAGAAGTCCTGGCCCAGGATGCTGCTGTGCACGGGCCGGATGGTGACCTCGTCCTCGAGGCTCAGGTCCAGTGCCTCCACCGCGTTGCTGGGGCTCAGCAGCGACTCGTGGGAGCGCGACGACTTCAGTCGCGGTGGCGCCGCGTTGGACCGGTTACTGCGCACATCACGACGACACAACCACGACCGCCATCACCATTACCACCACGACAACGCTGCTCAGCAGCCACAGATGTAAGCCGCGGTGATGCCGCGTTCAACCGGTTACTGCGCACATCACAACGACACAACCACCATCACCACCACCGTGACGACGTTTCTCAACGTCCACGGATGTAGTAAGACTTTCGCTGTGGCTAAAACATTGTGAAATACTGGACATTTGCTCATCGGATTCCTCCAGTATAAATATTCTGATTCTGATTGTCTGCGGCTCACTCCGAGATGCAGAGAAACGGTGGAGCTCATGGGTATTGGGCAGGGGAAGCAAGGTGGTCGAGGTGACCACGGAGTGCACAAAATGCCCGTCCCAAGAACTCTCTCTGCGTCACGTTCCATGACCCGAACGGGAATTGCTAATTGTTCAGATTAACTCAGCGACCGGTGAGTGGCAGTGGCATGGACACAGAGAAACCACCGCCACCACCACCACCACCACATTACTCAACAGCCACAGACAAGCGTGCACAACAAAAACCACTGGTGCGATCAAAATTTGTCACATTCGAAAGTTACTCCCATTAACTCAATTGGGACCATACATAGCAATCATCGGCCTCCCTTTCTGGTCGACTGAGGTCCATTTGCAGGCCAGGTGCTGTGTCACCGTGTGCCGCGCAGGGACAGCTCCCGCGCGGGGTGCTCTTTCAGAATGTTTGAGATAAGATGCGATGTAATGTGGTTGGAGATTATCAATGTTCAATATGCATCACCCACCCACAACAGGGAGGCATGTGTAATTAATACTTATATATCCTCCACAACGTCGCAAAAGATTAGTTTGTGGCATTGATCATATGTATGGCTCTTGCTAAGCATTAACCCAACATTTCTTAAACGTGTACCCTGAAAACATTATTATATTTGTACACGCTCACCCACTTTCATTGCAGTCGTTACTGCAACGAGCGAGCCAACTATGAAATATACCGCTGCTAGTAATGATTTCATACCGTTTTGGTATTTAAAATGATTGCCACCGGTTTTTTTTTTTATTCCACAAAGGTAACCGGGCGAATGTACAAACAGCACATATAATTTGCCGATAACGTTGAACTTGTGCAACTGGATGGCGGGTATCATCGTCTGACAACGAGGCCTAAAAAAAAAAAGATAATCAATTTATAATTACGGGGCTTTCGTGATTCGGTCAGGAAATTTGGTGGCAGAATTCACGCTAGGTTAGCAGAGGTCACGTCGTAAGGGTCACAAACACTCCCTCCATTCAGCGGGGCTGGCGCTTTCAGCTGCGTGTCTATTTTATTGCCACTTTATTTTAGTGTCAGATAAAACAGTTCAATATACGATATAAGAAGCGGCGTTGAAGAAAATGCTCCAAAAATATATATGCTTAAAAAAAATTACATCCACTGTGTATTGGTTATGACAATTTTAATGTTTACGTGACCCCAGCAGGGCAGCAGGTATACAGCACATATGAGGTCGTGTCATTGCAATTTGGATTAATGGAGCATTACATGAAGTTACTCTCCCATTTCTCATTAATGGCACCCACTTGAATATAAACAGCAATCGTCAGTTCAACGTACAATCACACATGCAAAGTACCTGCTATTTTGAATTTAAAAGAAGCGGAAGACGCAGAGGTAATATGGAGTAAGGCAAAAATAATCATTCTTGACGGTAGGCTTATTTGCTGGAATTGATTTCTATTGGGTTATTTTTTTTCAAGCGGAGAAGACAAAACCTCTGGGAGTAAACAGCAATATCAGGCTGGGGGTCACTTTCAGAGGGTGCTGCACTTACAACGAGAAGAATGCAAAAGTTCGACTCCCGGTCAGTGGTTGCTTCGGCCCATTAGTCCCCCAATGTGGACGAAACTATTCTACGGTTTTGTCTTTGTCTCGCCAACTGCCTCTTGGCATTGGCGGTCTGTACGGACGAGTCCTAACGAGGAAGAAACCGGTCTACAGCCAGGTTCTCTGTTTCACTGCTGCCAGTTGTGACGGCCACTTTTCCTCCGCTCTTTGAGATATTTGTCCACGTGACAACATGGGTACACATTCAGTTATTTTGAGCTGGTGGTCTGCATAAGGCTGACAGCTCATGCACATGCAATGCACACCTCTGTGTGTTGTTAAATCTAAGCCTTCCGAGTATGATGGTTTGAGGTGAAAGGTACTTATGAAGCGACTGGGCCCCGCCAAAACGATGTGTAAATTACCACCACCGACTCAGCGCTGCCGATATAAATGAGCACTGAACCCAATGCTGAATTGAGCATTTGGACACTATAACTCTGAATCATTATAAAGCACCGACTCTCCTCCGCGTGGTTGGAATGTTTGCTTTTAATCTGGTTCACACAGGGTCAGCGGTTACATTCCACCAAACTCCCAGCCATGCTTTGGGACATTAGCAAAACAAACCGTCAAACGTGAAGTGGATGCGAAACACCTTGCCATCTTGTGACCGTATTTGCAAAGGCAAATAATTAAGTGCCGATGTCAGTGCCTAAAAATCCCTTATTTGCCACACAATTACAATATAAGTTTGATGATATAGCATCTAAATGGAACTGCATCTCTAGACATTGATTTTAAACATTATCTTCAACTGAACTGAAATCCAAAACCAGCTATTATCCCGACCTAACAACGGTCATCTAGATCACCCTTGCCTGAAAATACACTTTCCTATCAATACTATCTCACTCGGTTCCAAATCAAGATAGATTAATTCATTATGTAGTCACATCTCATCCAAACGCCCCACCACATTTTACATTATACGCATGCATAGATTAATGATGCATAAATAATAAAATAACAATGTTATAATGGAATTTCTCCTTCCGGAAAGTATGGTCATTAAATTATTGACGGAGGGAAGGTACTATAATAGTTTAAACCAGATTGTGGCAAAGTGATACTGTGCAAGCCCAATTATTGGCACCACTTGCACGCGTGTTCTGCATGAACAACACCGCATCCCTCGCCTGAGGAACGGTCAACCGTGGTGAAGCAAATCCCTGGGAGGCAGGCAGTGCCTTGGGTGTGAGACACTGCCTTGGGTGTGACACACTCCTTGGGTGTGACACACTGCCTTGGGTGTGAGACACTGCCTTGGGTGTGACACACTCCTTGGGTGTGACACACTCCTTGGGTGTGACACACTCCTTGGGTGTGACACACTGTCTTGGGAGTGACACACTGCTTTGGGAGTGACACACTGCCTTGGGTGTGACACACTGTCTTGGGTGTGACACACTGCCTTGGGTGTGACACACTGCCTTGGGTGTGACACACTGTCTTGGGTGTGACACACTCCTTGGGTGTGACACACTGTCTTGGGAGTGACACACTGTCTTGGGTGTGACACACTCCTTGGGTGTGACACACTGTCTTGGGAGTGACACACTGTCTTGGGTGTGACACACTCCTTGGGTGTGACACACTGTCTTGGGTGTGACACACTCCTTGTGTGTGACACACTCCTTGTGTGTGACACACTCCTTGGGTGTGACACACTGTCTTGGGAGTGACACACTGTCTTGGGAGTGACACACTCCTTGGGTGTGACACACTGTCTTGTGTGTGACACACTCCTTGGGAGTGACACACTGTCTTGGGAGTGACACACTGTCTTGGGAGTGACACACTGTCTTGGGTGTGACACACTCCTTGGGTGTGACACACTGTCTTGGGAGTGACACACTGTCTTGGGTGTGACACACTCCTTCGGTGTGACACACTGTCTTGGGAGTGACACACTGTCTTGGGTGTGACACACTCCTTGGGTGTGACACACTGTCTTGGGTGTGACACACTCCTTGTGTGTGACACACTGTCTTGGGAGTGACACACTCCTTGGGTGTGACACACTGTCTTGTGTGTGACACACTCCTTGGGAGTGACACACTGTCTTGGGAGTGACACACTGTCTTGGGAGTGACACACTGTCTTGGGAGTGACACACTCCTTGGGAGTGACACACTGTCTTGTGTGTGACACACTCCTTGGGAGTGACACACTGTCTTGGGAGTGACACACTGTCTTGGGAGTGACACACTCCTTGGGTGTGACACACTCCTTGGGAGTGACACACTGCCTTGGGTGTGACACACTGCCTTGGGAGTGACACACTGCCTTGGGTGTGACACACTCCTTGGGTGTGACACACTGTCTTGGGAGTGACACACTCCTTGGGAGTGACACACTGCCTTGGGAGTGACACACTGTCTTGGGAGTGACACACTGCCATGGACTGGCTTTACGAATGTGGAAATCCCACATTCGTATGGTGAGGCTGAGTCTTTGCTCAGGGCAACCACCGCCAAATTCCCCACAGAGCCGCACTTATTGTACCAAGCCCGCATGCAAGAAGGGCCGAGTTGACACCTGGCTTGGGAGTTGAACTTGCAGCCTTCCAACTGTGGGCAGCGCACATTACCACGGTGCCGCGCGCCGGGTTGATAATACGTTTCAGGGAAATATTGCAAAATATTATCAAAGGTTACGATCCAGATCACTGAGAAATATCGCCGTGCATGGTTAAAAGAAAAGGCACCACGCGTTACGCCGCATGACGGTGCATGAAAGAAAAATATCCAGGCTCGATTTTTCTAAAGAAAATGTTATTGCTTGGTAATAACTGCAGCCTGCAAAGGTGACATATAACAGTCACCCAGTCTATTTCATGTACACTGGCCTTTCAATGGTATCCAGTGACTCGCAGATATACAATAGGCCATCCTATAGAAAGTAAAAAATGTGTAACGTAAAAAAATATAATTTCAAATTGCTTTGAAAAACTCGATTGACATTTTGCGCGCAAAGTTTTTATCCAATCCATTATTCTGCAACAAAGACGGTGACACAAGATGCACTGGCCATGTGCACAGAATCATGTTCACCTATCCTTGCAGAATTGCGGCAGAGCTCTGCTTTGTATTTTGCTTTCGCAGTGAAACGGCGA